GTGCCTTCCCGTGTTGGGAGAAGCTCACCGCTTTGACGCAGCCAGCGTGGCCCTGTTGAAAGGTTACAGGCATCGGATACCAGACAAGTTGCAATCCGAAGACAAAGAGATACAGCAGTCATCACAACTCAGGCGGGATCTTCTGAATAATCTCTGAATCATCTGGCTTGGTATGGGCAAAGCACCCTGAGGCACTCAACTGCTCCCAAACATTGTACTGATGCATGGCAAGCATCGCATCAAAAACTGAATCCTGATCATCATCAAGTACGTCAGGAAAGTGACGGATGCTCAGTGCATCAAGAGGTTGTTCTGAGCTTGCGTCAGGCAAAGAGCAACTCAATGTATCTTTCAAAAGGTTGGATGATATGACGTCATTATGAGAGCCTGACGTCTAGCTTCCTAGGCAGAACATTACCTTGGTGAAAGGCTTCTACACCGAGACTCAACCTCATCTTCTCCCAGACCCAGAGCAGGCTGCTTTCCGACTATGATACTTGAAGCGCGCACTTGTCAAATGCAAGTTTGGACACGGGCAGTGGACAACAAGCGACCCAAACTGCAGCACACGCCTTCAGAATCTGCTCGGGTCTTTTCTCAAGCACCTCCAGGTAGTTTACAACACTCCTGTAAGAAGTGAACCCTCGGGACTCTTCCTTGAAAGTCCTGCGATCAACCCCAATTGCCCAACTTACAATAACGGTTCCAGAAATTGCTGAAACCTCGGGAGTTTGACAGGTGCTGTCAAACGATCGAACTTTGGTGGCCAAGATTTCGGGATTTCTGGGTGCATTAGGCATGGAGTTGGCAGCGTAGAACTTGCTGTTTCAGGTTCAGGGGCTTAGGGCACACAGATACTGCGTCATACCCAGTCTAGAACTAAATTGCGTCTCCTGCGAGTTCAGATTCGGACATTTGAGATTGATGTCTGGGAGTTGTTAGGGTTTAATATGCTTCAATGAGATGTCTTGGCCATGGCGGACGCAAGCACCCTGCAAATGATATCGAAACACCGGTTTTCCATGTGGCTGGGCCATGTCCAAACATGGGGGAAGTGTCCCTTCTGCCGAAAGAAAGTAGTGCAAAACCCAGCAAATCATCATTTGTTTGCTGAACCATTTCATGATGCCACCATATTTTCTGATAGGAAGGTGAAAAGAATGGCCTTTGGGATTACCCGCGCAAAGCAAAACGATCGCAGCTGGCTTCTCAATGCAAGACTGCATTTCCAATGAAATACCAACAAAAAGTCTACACCTGTTCCCATTGGCCGATCAGCACCTTCCAAAGTCGGACGGTGCAGTCCTGCGCAGGAAGCTGCAGCAACATCGAAATCTGTGGGCTATGTTTTGTCAAGCTCAGATCTTTGGAGTCTCCAAGTAGTACATGATGCAAGTTGGGGTTGACTAGCCTACCTAGGTGCCAGCCACCGATTGGCCCCTACATTGGAGTAAGATGCTTCTGCGCACGGAAGAAGTCCTCCGAGCCACTTGCAAGAGTTCTCCTGGCGTAGCTAAACCACAGACAGGTAGTTGTCGGGAGAATCGGAATTGACTTAGCATAGGTCTCGGGGCTCTGAGGCTCTCAGCATGACCATTCTGCTTCCCGCCATGCTCCTATCACGAGACGTCACGCTCCCGGACAGCCTAGCGAAAAGAAAAGCATGCAAGGCAGACGAGTCGGTGGCAAACGCCACGCTGGCAACAGAGCCAGAATGGCCACTGAAAACCTAAGAACAAACATGTTCTTGACACTCATTTTCATTCATTTGTCTTCATTGCTCCTTGAAGATGCCCGTTATGCAGTCCCACTGCGCAGCTTAATCTTGCCCCAAGGATGTTCACGGTTCATTACTTTTGCTAAACCCCGTTGACATCAGGCTCGTTAGTGTAGGGGTAATGCGCTAGGACAAGAAGAATCGTCACAAGACAGCACGTCGAGGTTGCAAGCGCTCAGAGAGCTTGGGCATGCTTAGGCTATTTGGCAGCGTCAACGCGAGCCCCCGGCGCGAACTGCCTGAGCGCTCTCGAAATCCCAGGCGATGGCCGTCCTGGAAACCACGCTGGGCTGAATTCTTTCAGGAGGCCAGAGCTGCTGAGCCACTTAGTCAAGTCCAGCGCGCCTTCCACTGGTTTGGGCTTCGGGGACTTTAGCAGTACCATGGGTTGCGAGACTGATGGTTCACCAGCCTTGCAAAGCACATTAAGGTGCTACCGTTTTGCTTGCTTGCTCAATCCATCGACCCGAAACTCAAACCTGAAAGCTCATGTCCGTGTCACGAATTGTGTGCTCTCCTGTCCAAAGACCCCGTGGCAAGAAGCTTGCCATTCGCGGAACATGCCTGGAACGCACAAGGACGCATTTCCGGGCAATTGTTGGAAGTGGATGTCTTGTATTTGCAAACATACAGAAGTCGAAAAGAAACTCGAAGCAGTCAAGAGCACACAAGCACAAGCATGCAGCACCACCGCAGCTATTGGCGCATGATGCGCCCGGAAATTCCTGGCATGCGCTTCCATGGGAGGCAATCAGGTTGAGGACATGTGTGCAGGATTGGTGATTGGATTAGCAGATGTGAGGGGTAAGTTTCATTGCACACCTCCGCTGGGCTGTGCTTAGCTTTCTTGCGAAGCTTCCATAAGGAAGTGCTGCAGGGTTTTCAGATCATAGCCCCAACGCTCTTCGCTCTTGGGGGCCAGATTGGCTTCAGCTGTTCAAGGGCCCTCTCGTGTCCTGGTTACATTTTCAAAGAGTGAAACCATTCATGTGTCCGATGTCAACAACCCTTTTGCAAGCATCAGTGAATGCGCCGCCACATGTTTCAAATTTGGTGGCCACCTGTTGGGCCCACACACGAGCTTCTGCTCTCATGCAGGCGGTCAACCATTGATGACCTCGAGATCCAGCCCGAAGCCAGCGTAACACGCTGAAACCACTCTGCAGAACATTAAAGCAACCGCGAGGTATTGACTCAATCCCTGACTGTCTATGCCTGTGCTGGCGCATTCTGAGCTTTGACAAAACTAGCCTAGCACACGCCATCCGCATTCCTTCCAAATTCAGGTGCCAGGTCGGGCCTCATGATTTCTCCAGACGTCACGCTGCGAAGCTGCACATGCCCATCCTGCAGATCATGTGCAAGCGGCACTCATCTGTCTGGATAACTATTCGACGATCCTATGCTCACACTCCAGACCATAAACTGGAAATAATGGAGATTGAGCACGTGGGTTGACTGAGTCTTGGCCGGCTATGAGACTCAGAGTGTGAAGCAGGTTATTATCTTTGCAGCTTTGGAAGATTCAGCTTTGAACGTCCCTCAGCATCATGCTTTCAGTATTCTCTGGCCCGAAGTCCAGAGCCTCCTTTTGGTGGAAACTCTTGTTTGACAAGGGCTTGCAACTCAATCTCCGGGCGGAAAAAGTTGAATCCGCACTTCCCAATTTCTAGTTGAGGCAGTTTACGTGAATGAGTGCTCACTAATTGCTAAAAAATCAAGGAATTCACTTGTGCTTCTAGGCTGCACCAACCCGCAAATCCAAGCAGCGGCGCTCCATCATCCCCAGAACCAGCGACAGCCCCGACCTTGAGAGCTCGGCTCTGTGCAAGCGTTACACGTTTTCAAGATTGCATCTTGCCATGCAACTTGGGTCATTGACCACAGAGCTGGGTTGCCAGGCAGAAGAAGGAAACCTCCTACGTAAGGGCGCCGAGCAAGGGCCTGGCAGATGCTGGGGCACCGCACGCTGCAAAGGCCACGCCGGTCACCACCGAAGAAACACCTTCAATGGTCCTTCGCAAGCAGCCAGGCATTCTTTGGTAGTCTCTTTGGCGATTCAGAACATGCAGCTCCGAGATTCCGTCCAGGAAATCAAGGAGCCAAAAACATGAAAAGAGGGATCCTATCGAGTCAGAAACCCTAGAAACCGAAGCAGAACAGTAACCCAACTCACAGCAGACTAGAGAGGCAATATCCTACATCAAAGGGGCCTCCAGCAAGATGCAAGTACAGCAGCGGTCGCAAGCCTTCCTTTTGTATGGTCACATGAAGGTGGTGGACAACGGCCAGCAACATGCACTGACCTCACGGCTAACAATCTACTTAGCCGACATCAGCCAAATGCTGACAAAGTCGCTGACAAATATCACCCTGCCCAAAGTTTCGATCGGGCAAGGGCGGGCGGGAGATCGAAAAATTTTTGGGCGGCCCCCGCTATCTTCCACCGGACTACCCCGGTACTGAACCCACTGTGCTCTAGCCACACACACAGCTGCAACGCAGTGCTTCTTGCCACATGACGCTTTAAGTCACACAATCACAAGCATGCCGCACACAATGCAAGTCCTGACATGACGCACTGCACGAACAGCGTAGCACGCACATAGCACTTAGGAATCACACATTGCACCTACACGCGCAGGAACACTCGCCCTGAAAGACCCCACCAACCGAATCCCAGGCAGCAAGGACTCTAACGGATCCCTCTCTTCGCCCCTCCGGTTCCCTACGGTTCGACCCGCGGGATCCTATCGAGTCAGAATCCCTAGAAACCGAAGCAGAACAGTAACCCAACTCACAGCAGACTAGAGAGGCAATATCCTACATCAAAGGGGCCTCAAGCAAGATGCAAGTACAGCAGCGGTCGCAAGCCTTCCTTTTGTATGGTCACATGAAGGTGGTGGACAACGGCCAGCAACATGCACTGACCTCACGGCTAGCAATCTACTTAGCCGACATCAGCCAAATGCTGACAAATGCATCATCCGCGTCGCTGACAACTATCACCCCACTCGAAGAGCAAGCACGCGGCAAAAGAACGCGCACAACTGTTTTCACTGCCATGGGTCCGAGACGCGCAAAGCGGCTTGCCTTGGCCGCTTGTTGGAACGACTTGAGATGTTCTTGTGTGCCCTCGAATCGCGCACTTCCTCATACAGATCCATACCTGCACGCATGAGACCCTGCATTATAATTCGTTTAAAAGCCTTTAGGTCGAACCTCAAGCAGAGCCTACTGCCAAACCTGCTGTAGTCGCCGTTGTGAGCGAGTCGGCTTCTTTGTTCTGCAGGCGGGGTAGCCAGTGAAGCCGAAGATCAGCGCCTCGTACTTGCGGTTGCATCGCAAGCTCCATGAGGAGGATGCACAAAGGAAACTTTGTGGTAAGTAGCCGCGCCACTAGATTGCTGTTGCCCCGGTTGTCGGTTGCAGCCAAACACAGAAAACCACACACTTCCCCAGGCGGCACTCCAAAGAGGATAACGGCGGCTAGAGTTGCAAGCAGTTCCAATGAGGCGATTTGACGATAAGCTTCGCCCGCCAAGTACACCCAGGGTGCATTGATGTGGTCTAGCTTCTCAGCGAACCATCTACATTGCTTGGTATCGTCAGAGTCCAAGGCCCAGCCTGCAATCCAAATGTCATTGCCCTCGGCCTTGGCATCAGCGCGGAAAAGTTCTCTTTCAGAGACATGTGGCTTTCCCGCTGCTACGAGACGGCCAGTCCCGCTCAGTGCTTCTGCCAAGAACTTGAAGATCAGCGCAATTGCACGTGGCACCTTATATGTTCGCCCATGATCTAACGAAGCAGCCCAAGCATAGACCGAAGAAAGGTCTAAAATGTCCCAGCGCAGACAAAGCGAATGACAAACGACCCAGGACTGCGCTGACATCGGCAATCCTCACGCAACTGGATGTTGATGTCTGACTGAGCCACTTCACCAGCCACTGCGCACGCTGCACTGATAGGCCAAGCTTGCACTCTCTGATATTCAGAACGAAACCAACCCAACCAAATTCATCCCCCCCTTCAACTTATGCCAAGAAAAGGGCAACCCCAGCACAACAAAGAAAAAGATTACAAGGCACACCTTCTCAATGCCTTTCTGACTGACTCGCACCAACCACAGCAGGTCATCTACGTAAATCAGCATGTAGATCTCTGTTCTCCCAAGCAGGTAGAAGGCAGCTCGACCAAGGCCAGACATTAACCGGCTCCAGTGATAGGCAGCGCTGGAAATACCAAAAGTGCCAACCTTATTCAACCATAGCTTGCTTGGCCCGCCGACTCCAGTCTTACACGCTTGCAGAATTTAGTCTTCCTCCGCAATTTTCACAAGCCTATGCGCCCGCGCCACATCACCAGTCAGCCCAAAGCATTGCCCAGGTAGCTCTTGCAGCACTGTACGTAGCTCGCCAGCACTCGGCGACCGCAGCTGATCTCGCACACGAACGGCGGAGTTCACTGCAATTCCGCGCGTACCATCATGCACTACACGACACGCGCCGTCCTTTTTCTCAATTGCCCCTAGGGACGCAACTGCAAGTCTCTCCCCAAAGTTCTGTCGGGCCTCGCCCTCTTCCATCTCGACCATAGCTCCGAGACTCGCTTCCACTTGAAACTGCTTCTGGACCTCGCGCGCACGCTCCTTCGCTGACATGTAGTTCTCTCGCTCGACTCCTTTCTCGCCTGACGTGGTCTCGTCATATCTTCGCCACTTGTCTTTCTTTTCAAATACTGCTGGAACACGCGGCAAGCGCACACCCGGACCTAGCCGCACTCCCTTTGCAAAAGACACACTGGAAGAGAAGAATGCTCTGCTGTCGGGGTCTCCAGAAAAGCGAAGGAGCTCCTCGACGGCGGCTAGTATAGAAGGGTTGTCCTTCGGGCCTTTCCCGCACTGGCAGCGTCGCTCCAGCATACTCTAGGGCCTTGAAGAGGAGCTCACGACCTTCCGCTATGAGCTCCGCGCAGAAGGGATTAGCTGACACCTTGCCCTGCGCTAGCTTCGACGCCCAGTCAGAAAGATTGACACGCTGAGCCAGGATCTTGAGGAGCTCTTCGCCAAGCCTTTCGGCAAAACCCAGCGACGGCGTATCTGCTGCGCATCTTCGCTGGCCCCTGGAGAGCATAAAGCCAAAGCCGTCTCGGAAAGACTGCTTCTTTCCGAATAGCTTGGCAGCCAATGGGGGGCCATGGCCCCACTGGCCATCACCCAGCTGCGGTTTGGTGAAGCCGTCCTCATCTTCATCAGAGCTGACTTCAATGGCATCAACACTGCGACTGAGCTCTTCCCACACGCTCTCATCACCAGTACGCTCCCAGCGCCACTCCTCTACAGCCGCAGCACCGCAGGGTTCACAGTGGCTGGGGCTATCGTGCTGCACACTCGCTTCACGGTGTCGCAGTCCCTGCCATGCTTGGTGGCAGACATTGCCTGGGCCAGGCGCTCGGACTTGTCCGACTTGGCATCACGCTTGTAGCGGCACTCATAGAAGGGGTGTCGATGATAGCAGCGCTGACACACATGCTCAAATCGGCAGTTCTTTCCAGCGGAGCAGCCACCACGCTTGTTGTACTTGAAGCAGACGCACTTGCCTTCTGGGGTTCGCGCTGCCTTGCCCCACTGCCGCTCCCAGGGCCGCAACTGCTTGTCCTTTCCAGCACCCTTGGTGCCACGGCCTGCTGGATGGGGAGACGGCGGTGGAGGAATGCCAGGCTCCTCCTCGCTTCCGCTTTGCCTTTTTCCAAGGGTAATGGGGATGATGAAATGCAAAGTCAGCAAGTCCGACGAGTCACTCACTTTCTCGATGGTTCAGGCAAGTGCACTTCCCGTCACGAACAAAGCGGTAAGCCGCTTTGCGTAGCTCAAGCTCGTAGGTCAGCACCTGTGACCAAGTAGGCACGCCACGGTCAGCAGTCTTCACACCTGCCACGTGAGACCCAAGCACATGATCAGAAAGCAGCCGGAAGGTGTCCACGCATGACTTTGGCAGCCAGGTTCTTGTTGAGTGACGGGACCGCACAAAGTCCCACGCCAGCCCCAACCGCCGACGTCTTCCAGCGACGTCACTTCTTGCAAGTCCTCGGCAATTGGCACTACATCTTCCACCTGCTCCAGCTTGACAGCAATGAGGGATTTGCTCGGGACTTCACGGTCCTTCAAGGAACGCCCGTGCAATGTTTCAACTGCTGCACGCATTGCTGCACACTCGGTGTTCTGCACCAGCCGTTGTTGGACACCAAGCTTGGCATCTTGGCGATTTTGCTCCTGGCATTTGAGCTGCATCCGCGCACTCTCCCACACGCAAAGCAACTTGGAAATTTCTTTGCGAATCTCAATGTTGCCCACAGGGTCGAGACCGAAGTCGGACTTGAAGACTGCACGGACCTCCTCACGGGACTCTTCCAAGCCCCCGAAGACCCGCAGCGAAGTCACGCTGCGATCGTAGATCTTCTTCTGTGTTGCCGGAAACACCCCTGCTTCTTCCATCTGGAAGCGAAGCTCTGAATCCGCTGCTGAGAGGTCCACAGCCATGGCAGCAACCGTGAAATCTGAAGGATACACTGATACACAGGTTCTCGCGCACACAAAAGATGCGTGACGCGAGCAAGGAGCTCTACACCACCACCACGCATGACCCCCGCCCTGGGCCAGCGTTACAAGCGCCTTCGGCGCATCAGCCATGCGACAAACTCGCACAAACGCTCAGTCTGCTCCGCGGAATCTCACCGCTGGCTACGCATGCGACTGTCTCGCACAAATGGGAAATAAGGAGTCGACAATACACCTAGACCCAGGCGGCGCAAGCTCTGCCTGCCTGGCTTCTTGGAGCCACTGATCAATCCGCCGGAGCATCATCCGACGTAGTGGAATCGTTGGAACTACCCGAGTCATCTGCTTCCTCGGCTTCAGACAGCGTTGCGTCGCCCGCCTTCCAGCAATGCCTACACGCGAGGTCATACTCGGCACCCTTCAATTGCCACACAAACTCCCACTCGAGCACTTCTATGGAGCCTACACCGCAACCACCCGAGCGATGTAAGCATCGGAGCTTCTTCTTCCCTACTACAGTCACAAAGTAAGGCGCACATTCAGCATCAGGACCCAAATCGTCCTCAACCAATATAGGCGCAGCTGCGGCAGGAGCTTCCACAATCGCCTTTGGAGCCCGCGAACACCAATCTGCTGCCAGGTGAAGCTGTTGACACAATTCGTACGCTTGCCCAGACGCTATGAAGACCAGATGCTCCCTCAGCTCGTCCAGGCCTGCGTTGCGCAGGTCCCAGGTGTCGCTGCCACATATCGTGGCCACGAGTTGCTCCTGTAAGCCATGGATGACTTGCCGTGCTGCGCGCAAGTATTCATCGGCCGAGGACGCGATACGCCAACGTCCGATGTAATTGCGCTGCTCGACACCAACCCCGCAGACAGCTAATAAACTGGTGAGCCAATTGCGCTCCGAATGTTCTTTCCAAAACGTCCGCGCCTCCGGCGCAGGCAGTAACATGCGTTCAGACAGGCTCCAGGCAGAACCTTTCTTGACCGGCACACGCAGGTTGCGGAGTAAATGCTGACTCAAACCAACTACGTCGGCATAATCCGCCATAACGCGACGAACACCAGACCAATCCGCGTTCGGCACGGGCAAGAAGTAGTCCCGCTCAAACGACATCTCTTTGCTTGCCCACACGCGCAGCCCTTCCTCCAACCAGCCAGGAGCCATGAAAATAGCAGACGCGCTCACATAAATAGGGAGGTGTCGCACACGCTTGCCAGGACCAGTTGTTTTAGTGCGCTTCAGCAGACCAAGTAATCCAAATTTGGTCAGACGCAGTGAGGCCGGACTCAAACCACTGAGGTCGTGGGTTCTGCACGCTGTCCAAAGCTTCAGAAGTTTGTAGAACGCTAAGCCCCTCGCGTACTTTGGCGCGGTATCATCTAATACAAGCAGCTCAAGGGCACCCACCAGCATGAGCGGAAGCAAGGGGGCTTTCTTTGTTGGGGGAGCACCGACCTCAAGGTCACACGTCGCTTGGTTGACGAAGTTCTTCAGTATTGGCAAATCAGCTAGGCGTTTGCCGGCATCATAGCCCCCCTTCTTTTCCATTCAGGCCACATGCTTCCTAAAGAAGCCGAAACAGTTGCTTGCGGATTGGATGCCAGCTGAGCTTGTTGGGCCATAGGAGTCTTAGCTTGCAAAACAAGCTCAACCAGCTGATCGCGCCAGCGCTGTAGCTCTGCCTTCTCAATGGCCGCGCGAGTAAGCCCCAGCTTGGAATCTGCTAATTTCTTAGCAGCACGGGTCGGCCACGCCGACTGCCGTCGACGAGCACCAGAGCGCTTGAACGGCCAGGATACGGTGTCCAAAGCACCTGCTGAGCCATCCGCAGGAGCCAGTCTCCTGGCAAGGGCCACTTTCTGCCAGGCAGGGTCTGTCCGCCCTCGCCGCTTGTTTCTCCGCTGCGCGCCGGGCAAAGCCCGTTGCTGAAGCGCGGTAAAGGCGCGAACAGCAGTGGTCCTCAGCTTCCGATCACCAGGTACATAGTCAGTCATGACTGCGCAAAGGTCATGTCTGTCAGCGAACAGGAAAGCCAGAAGGCCCACATCAGGCAGCTGACCACCCTCGCTGCCGAAGTCTGCGCGAAACTTGCGCGGAAGCAATGCCCATAAATCTGCATCAGCGCTTGACAGGCTCTCCTCATCTTGGCTGGAGTCGCTCTCCGGTGCAGAGGCCATGGCAGCGAGATCGAAAAAATTTTTGGGCGGCCCCCGCTATCTTCCACCGGACTACCCCGGTACTGAACCCACTGTGCTCTAGCCACACACAGCTGCAACGCAGTGCTTCTTGCCACATGACGCTTTAAGTCACACAATCACAAGCATGCCGCACACAATGCAAGTCCTGACATGACGCACTGCATGAACAGCGTAGCACGCACATAACACTTAGGAATCACACATTGCACCTACACGCGCAGGAACACTCGCCCTGAAAGACCCCACCCAACCGAATCCCAGGCAGTAAGGACTCTGACGGATCCCTCTCTTCGCCCCTCCGGTTCCCTACGGTTCGACCCGCATCAGCTGCAGTGGTACCTTCAGATTCTACCTTCAGATTCTCGAGCTGAGGACAAGTGCCATGAATTCATCGTCCATGGGTATGAAACTGTGCCTGGGCATGACACTTCGACCAATCTTCAACTAATCCTTCTGGGCACCCACCTGGCCGGGTTATGCCATGACTCTCAGTCGCTTACGGTCCTCTCGCAGTTCCCAGTTTCGGCACCTGCTCAAACTCACGCTACTTTCGAATGCAACAGTGCTTTTGGTCGCGAGTCCCAACCTTGCTTTGGTCCCTCCATACGGACGAGATCTTCAACCCATGGCTGAGAAGGGCTGAGTCCAAAGCTCCAAATCTTTGTGATGCCATCGTCATACGTGGCAGCAAGGAAGAGCCTTGCTGACGCTTCGTCTGACAGGTTATGTCTATCTGAAACCTGCTCTGGGTTACTTTGAGATGAGGGCTACATCCCAGCAGAACACTCACAGTTTGTTTCCTTGCCCCATGTGGAGCTTGAAAGCTGCTGTCCTGTCTTCTTCAACCACTTCCCTGGACCCCAAAGTTCTGAATCCGGTGCCTCGACATCCAAACAGATACATCTGACCCGCGTTAAACATGAAGCCAAGTTGCTCAGGATACCGAATCGCAGCGACCTCCAGTGCAGCTCCGAGACCACTGGTAGTAGCAGGTTGTCAGTTGTATCCAGTAAGCGGGGTCTTCAGCAAGTTCGCAGTTACAGGCTTAGTCTTGGACTGGGACAATAGGTTTGTCATGGTGCAGTTGCCTGCGAAGCGAACATTTTCGGGTGTAAGAGTTTGGGAGGGTTTGAAATGTGGGGTTCACAAATAGATTCGAGATTGGAGCCTTAGCTATGACCCTCTCCCTATTGGGCGAGCCAGATGTGGTCCTACAGCACCAAAAAAAGCTGGTATGATCCAGATAGTGTTCTGTTAGCTTGATGGATGCGCCTTTGAAGTAGTCTGTCCTTCTGGCCCTAATTACTTGTTAAGATGATGCATGCTGACAAAGTTGAGACATGTCGGCATCATAGTTGCTATGGGAAACCGTGATGTTGGATTTTGCAAAGCGTTTCTCTCTTCCGCAACTTCCAGGCCTCAAGCGAATTGCTATCACAGTCTCATGGACCTCAAATCTAAAGCTTCTGGCCAATCTTGTGAAGCTTGCTGGCGCGCATTGGCTTCCCTAAGTACATGCTGATGTGAGATTTGAAGGCCACATCCATGAAGGAAGCGAGCTTCAAGGCAGCCTGCAGTAATGCGGCAGGAAAAACAGCGATCCACAACGGTGCCCAAGGAGGCGGCAGTACAGCCGTCGCTCAAGCCAGCTTCCTCTAGCGTGAGACTGTCATCCAAGACCTGGCGAAAAAGCTCAACTCTTCCCGTTTCTTCAGGATTGCTGCAGCATCCGAAGCTACTCCATGATGTTTTGCTCCCTTGCGAGCAAGCCTCGAGGCTGCTTTTGCAACTGTTGGGTTGTTTCCAGATTTGCTGGAACCCTCCTGCCGCTGAAGTTTTTTGGCCTGTCCGCTGCAACCTGTTTTGCACTGGCCCGTTCTCGGAAATCTTTAACTGAAAGGCAGGAGCCCAAGAAGTACAAAGCTAGGGAACTTGGATGCTGGCTGCTTTCCACACGGCCTTCGAAAAGTGAGAATGCCGATGATCAAACAACCAGAGAAGATGCCAAAGAAAAAAGATGACCATGATCGCGCAGAAAATCGAACGTAAAGCCCTGCTGTGTTCGCTGGTCAAATGCACCTGCATTGTTTCACGTCCAAGGGTCAGCAGAAGGCACGATAACTCCAAAATGCATTCAGCCTGCTACTCAAAGTAAGAAAGGGCATTTGTCAATATTTTTTGGGGGAAATTCGGGTAGTGGCCCTGGTGGTGGTGAGGGGCCACCTGCCTGGTTCTGAAAGGCAAGCATCAAGTTCAAGTCTTCGGCGCGCGCCTGGGGCTGAGACGCATGCGCATGAGACGCATGCAGCGAAGTAGCCATGAGTCTGGGGGGCGGCTATGTCAGGCTTTCAAGCTCAGACACAAGCCAGACATACCAAGGAGACCTGCACCTCTCGAAACAATCTAATCATTAACCTAGAGCACTAGCGCAGGCTGTAGTTTGAGAAGCTATCTTGATTCAAAGCGCATTCGCCAAGCATGCAGCGCGTTGCAAGCTCTAACAGCCGTTGCCGGAGATCACAGTTTCAAGTCAACTTTCAAGCCTCGCCATAGAGCCTGACAACGGAAAGTCCTAATTCCGAGATGTATCTACACTGCAGATCGGGACTCGGGCTGCGGTTTTGATGGCCAGCACAAGCTCCCCGACCGTCTGCAGGGAGTGGACCTTCATCCTTCAGAACACGTCCCTGGCTTCTTTCGCGATTCAGCGGCGTTTTGCTTCTTGGAGATGGCGTCCGACATGCTTTCTGTACCCCCGTAATTTGCCTGGTAAGGTT